AAAAATGTTTTAAATTTGCATTGTTGATTGAAAATAACACTAAAACTACTAAAATATAACATATTACATCATAATATAGCTAAATTGTTCAGTATAACTTTCCTTTGAAGTAAATGAAGGTCTTGTTTGATGTCACAATGACTTAGCAATAATATACATGAGCCATGCATTTCGTCCATATACAATTTATAAAACTTAATGAATTATAAGTTTTATTAGGCTTTCACTGTTCATTCCAACGCTAAGATTTTAAACCTAAACTTAATCATTAAACTCGTCTCCCCACAAAAAGTGTTACGTTTGGGGACAAAATATTTTATGTCTTTATTTATCGTGTTAATCTCCAACTTTCAAATTGAGTGCAATACCAGGATCCCCCAAATCGACCTGACCTTGTACCCACCTCTTCGCAGATGTGCTTGTATATGCGCATGATCATTGTCTAGGAAGAGATTGAATAGATTAGAACTCACAATTTCGCCTCGTCCTTCTTCTGATGACATTTGAAACGTTTCGGTATTGGGTTCATCGTCAGATATGTACGACGGTGTGGACCGATAGAGTTTCTCTATCAGACCTAGTCATTCAGCGGATACAGAACTTGGAAGATGATTTTTAAAGGACAAGAAGAGGAAGCCTCTGTTGGAATGGTCATATGCTGCTTAACCTTTTAAGAAATACAATTCCGTTTACCAAACAAAACCAGAGTCTAGCGCAAGAAAAATTGACTCTTCGATAATCTATCATAAATATTTTGTGACAAATGCGAGGCTTGACGTTGAAACACAGGGTAAAACCTCGTCTTCGTTGATGTGTAAGAGTTAGTCACGGATTCCGTTGCTTTCCATTGCGATATGTAAGATCTCAAGCAACCATCTGTTATTTCACTTTGGTTTTATTTCGTAGGCATCATAAAGAAATTCACTCGTAAAGAAGAGCAACTCAAATCCAGTTAATTGGTATTGCAAAATGCATTCAGGTGAACGACTAGTTTATTTATGACATTGCACTTGCATCTGTAACATAATTCTGTAAAATTGAATATATATATATGTGTGTGTGTGTGTGTGTGTGTTTGTATATGTGTATTATATGTTTACAGAAATGTGTTATATATATATATATAATATGAATTATATATATATATATTATATATATATATATATATATATATATATATATATATATATATATATATATATATATATGAAAAAAATACAAAAAAAAACAAAATTCTGAATATGCATTAATGCATATTCAGAATTTTGTTTATTTTTTTCATACTGTCAGATTTATATCCATATATTTGCTTACATATATATATATATATATATATATATATATATATATATATATATATATATATATATATATATGTATGCACTACAGCACAAAAATTTGAAGCCACCTCTAGAATTAGCATGGGATGAACTTGACAGAATATTGAAAAATTAAATAAATAAAAGAGCTCTTAGAGTCATTCAAAAAAGAATGGAATCAATTACTAAATGATATTTTGAGAATCGTTTGCAACGAATGCCGAAAGTTTGTACTGCAGTAATCAAGGCAAAAGGAGGAGATTTTGACGAGAGTAAAATTCAATCATAAAATACTTTTGTTCTTTTTGGCATAATAAAACTTCTAATACAAAATCATGTCTCACGTT